GAGGATACTTGGTCAAGGACCGGAAGTCGTGAGCTGCTTGAGTCATATGTAAAAGAATCGTTTCTGGCCACTCCCAAGTGAATGGCGATCAGAAAACTTTCCTCACTTGCGTGAACTTCACACATCCATTATTCTAGGAGCAGGCAGTATCTCTTCAAAGTATTATATAATTTTTATGATATACAAATTACGTGTTTTATATCGAATGTGAAAATATCTGCCAACTTTTTTTTTCCAATAGATTTATTTTGTAATGTGCATCTCGAGTTTTATAAGAGCAATCGGAGTTATATTGTCATAGAAAGACAAGGTTTCGCATTAAAAAACTTGTAGAATTTTTTGGCTCATAAAAATGTCAAAGGTGGACACCAGCAAGAAGAAAATTCACTAATTATGTTGATGCTTTTTGACATTTACATGTGAAGCGATTGTGTAATTATTTTTATAAGCTTTCTTATTAATTTATAATTTTGGCAAAAAAATACATTTATCATGGCAGGGATATTTTCATGAATATTTCAGTGAACCATTTTCGATGAAACTATTTTGGTTGCATACCCATGATGAATAAATACTGCAGTTTTATGGTATAAATACTATGTACTAGTTCGATTTCGAATACAGCCAATACGACATAGAAGGTGCGTTCCATATAAACAGGAATTAAAAAACAGAACAAATGGGTTTTTCGGCAAAATCAATTTATTTTATTCAAAATGGTCTCCTTCTGCTTCTTTCTATAGCTTTTTGCACCGCCAGTATGCATGCCTTTTGAATCGCCTCTACGTCTGTATAACGCATTCCTTTCTTGAGCAAATGCATTTTTCCGAAAATGAAGAAGTCGCACGGTGCCATATCAGGTGAATACGGGGGGTTAATTGTAAAAATGTGATTGTTGGTCAAATAATCGGTCACAAGCGTCGATCAATGAGACGGATTCGGAGCATTTTTTGGTCGTCAGTAAATTTGTGAAGAACAAACCGTGCACACACCTTACGTAAGCCCAAATGTTCGGTCAAAATGCGATAAATCGATGTTTTAGAGATGTTCAATTCCATTTCCATGAATTTAAATGTATCCTTAGTGGCGTTTTTTCAACGTCTGCAATAAAGATTGATAGTTAGGTTATGTTAGATGGCTGATCACAGATCACACGTAGACTAATAATGGTGTCCTTTGTGATGCCATAGAAAAGTTCTCCCGTGTTCGAACTAACAGATTGGCGAAGTGCCTTGTAGTCAATAGTGGCTTGTTAAGAGGCCCACTAAAATAACAGGTTAGCCTTACTGAGGCCTAAGAGATCATTGGATCTCCTGCGATCTATTCTGGGTCAGACGACWTTTGCAACCGCACAAGTACCGATGCTGGCCCAGAGTTGGATTAGTATCCGCGTGGCCCAGCTATCTAGTAGTAGAACACAAGACGATACAGGAGCACAGATTCTTTCCCATTCTACCGATAATGATTCGAGGATGCCTTTCCTTGCTAACTCATCAGCTTTGCAATTACCTGCAATTCCGCTGTGGCCCGGCACAGTCTAAACATACTATAAAAACTCTAGCGATAGCGACGTTATGCAGTCAAAGTTTGTGAAGATATCCGAATGTCCAGATACGCCTTCCTTTAAAACCCCAGATTCTCTGAGTCTAATAGCCACCTTCGTGGCTATGCACATACTGGCAGTGTCCACCGACGTTATATTCAAAATTGCATTAAGTGGGTTGGATCTTAATGCACCTCATATGCTAATTAGCGCAGCCCGTTGAGCGCTTTCGAGTTTCTTGGCCAGTGTGGTCTTCCGCAAAGCGACGTTATGCACTCAAAGTTTGTGAGGATATCCGAATGTCCAGATACGCCTTCCTTTAAAAACCCAGATTCTCTGAGTCTAATAGCCACCTTCGTGGCTATGCACATACTGGCAATGTCCACCGACGTTATATTCAAAATTGCATTAAGTGGGTTGGATCTTAATGCACCACATATGCTAATTAGCGCAACCCGTTGAACGCTTTCGAGTTTCTTGGCCAGTGTGGTCTTCCGCAAAGCCCTCCGCCACATGAATACACCATAGAACAAGATTGACTTGACTATGGTGTCATAAAGCCAGAGGACCACTTTCGGTGAGAGGCCCCATATTTTGCCAATAGCTCCTCTACAGCAGTATAAGGCAATAGATGCCTTTTTTGTTCTCTCCTCGATATTCGGCTTCCATGAAAGCTCTTATTAAGGATGAGCCCTAAATATTTCACTGTATCCGCTGGTCATTTTATAAACTTACAAGTAACAAATCCTATCATTTTCAGCCATACATACTCGGGCGAAAGCTTATAGAATGACAGAAATTGCGCTAAGAATGCAATAGAATGAGGGAAGACTCAGGGCAAAAGCCCAGGCAGTTCGTTAGGGTTTCCTAAATATTCTGCTACTGAAACGTCCAAATTCCTTAGAAAAGGCACGAGTGTGTTGCCGTGTTGTGCTATCCAAATAATAATATCTTAACTACGTTTTTGTTAAATTTTCAAACGTATTTCGATTATTAAAATTCATAAAGTTTAAATTTAGCTAGTTTTGATTAAAATTTTATTTATTGCATCAAAATATTGGTATATCTTTTATATTTTATTAAAAATACTTGAAGAATATATCTATTTTTGGTTAAATTATTACAAATAGAGTTTTGTTTAGTATTGTATAAGGTATATGGGTGAAAATAGGCCTCCGGGGGAACCTAATACCCAAAAAATATCGGTATCGCGCCTATACTGCAACCTCTTTATTATTTTTACGTCTTTTTTTTTAAATCTCTGTGCCGAAAAATCAACTATTTCTGTCAGGTGATCTCAGCTGTTGACGACCATATGATTCTTTTGTTACTTGTAAATTTCTACAATGCCGCCGGTAGCAGGCGAAATACCTCCCACCGGGATTTTATATTTTCGGCTGAATAAAACCATTTCTGTTTTGTTTGGATTAATAGCGAGTCCACTACCGACCACCCATTTTGTTGCAACGCTGAGATATCCCTGAGCTAACTCGTACACGATGCTAAAGAACTTTCTTTTGACTATAAGTGCTACTCGCCTGCATAGGCAATTACCCGACAGCCGCGATCCTCTAGTTTGCTGAGCAATTCGTCAACGATTAGGATCCATAGAAGAGGAGAGAGAACCCCACCTTGTGGTGCCCCCTACTCACATTTCGCCTCGCTGTCCCATTCTGTTTCCATCACTCTGTCGCACAGAAGAGGTGCTTGAGGTTCGAATCAACCCCAAGACCGTCAAGAGCAGTTACTGCCTCAGGCAGGACATTGAAAGCTCCCTTGATATCAAGGAAGGTCCCAACAGCAAAGTCCTCAAGGAAGGATTCATAGTTAACCAGAAATTAAGTGACAGATTGATGCTAACCAAACATTGAGAAAGCGGCCTTAATAGTTCTAATAATGTAACATCCAATCACGCGTATTCATTAATTTCGTTCCGGTAGGTGAGTCCAATCGTTATCGAAGCAATGTTAACACAAAAAAATGACTTGGAGCACATTTTCATCTGCGAGTCTCTTAAAAAGCGGAACAAAATCTTTGATTTTTTCAATTATGTTTCTATTAATCTCTCTTTTTAGGCTTAATATGATGTATTTATTGACTTCTTAAATAAGCTACTGCTCTGCCCAGAGTTATCTTTGAGTTTATTTAGATGCATGAGTAAATAATGTTAAAGTTCGTGTTTTGCAAGAATTTTGAGTTGTAGTCTTCTTAAACACGTAAGTACTAAGAATTTATTAAATTATATTACTTTTAGGCATTATCAATATACCATAATGGGGACGGTATTGAGCTTTAATCCAAGAGAGCGCCATCCGTTTTATTCATCCCAGACTAGCATCCAATATAACCAACAATCTGACGTTCGAAACGAATATATATTGGAAGGTTCTTCTTTAATGGACTCTCATTTGAACAACTTTTGTTACGAGCAGTTGAATAATGCCAAAAATCAAGAAACGAAGCAAAGTATTTGTGTTCCGCTTGCTAAAAACGGCATAATTGCGCATAATGGATGTGGAAGAATAAATGTAGGCAAGCAAAGTCATGTGACCAGCTATAGTATCAATAAATTGAAAGGCACAAAAGAAGCAATTAACAATGATTTGGATTTACACAATGAAAATTCTGCACTTTTCACCGAAAAAAATACCATTGAAAAGAGTATGAAAAAGCATTCGTTATTTATTAGTGCATTGTCTTGGAAAAAACTTGCTGCGTCGCATAATAAAAAGAAAATTGAAAATAAAAATAAATGTGCTCATATACCTACAGGTTGTTTCAAAACTCATCCGTTGGATGCTTCAAATGTATCTTATACCGATAAAAATAAAAATGTTCGCTTGCATTTCAACCATATTAACGACAGTCAACACATAAATTTAAATCAAGATGACTCTCAACCATGTAACACGCTCTTTTCAAATTCTAAAACTAAAAAGCAAATAACATCACAAGATCTTGTTAGAATTAACACCACTAATTTTAATAAGTATAACAAATTGATTCAAAAGGAGCCTTTGACTTTATCTTTGACCCCACAATCGCAGACAATCCAAAACAAAAACAGCCACATTCCGAGGAAAACTGTAATTCAGGTGAGTTTTAATTTTACAATTATACTAACTTCACTTTACCAAAGATCGTTTAAAAAATAACAAAAACGTGTACATACTATGAATGTTATAGCGTGCTTATCTTCATGGTGGTGGAAGTTAAATGAAAATACCTCTTTTAGGTGAATAGAAATATTGTAAGAAGAATTTGATACGCAACTATGTATATTTGATAAAAGGTTGTTTAGTCAATTTTTTTTTTCGAAATATTTTTTTTCCACGTTAGTATGACTGTCCGTGACATCTGTGCCAACTGTCACATCAAAATAGTCATTGGCTTTTAGTATATGTTTGCCTTTCTGAAGTAATTAAGTGCATTCGGCGGTTTTTACGATTTTTAAATTAGCGTGTGAAAAGGTTCAGAATGATGCAATTGCCTTGGGTGAAAAATGAATTTTGATTGCCACAAATTATTTAAAGCGGGTCGAGAATGCGTTGACGTCAAACCACGTCCAGGACCGTCATCGACATACTGATAATCATACGCTAATAAAATAAAGGAATTGGTACTTGAGAATCGACGATTTTGAAAGATAATTTGGGCCTAAGAAAAGTGAAAGTTGGTTCTAAAATCACAAAATATTTGGGGAAAACAGCGTCGCGTTAACGTCTGTCAAACAATACTTATAATACTATTATTTGAGTGTTTTGCGTCGTTTGCGAGAATGTTGCGTCGTTTGTATCATGATAATGCACTGTCGCATATTGCATTGATTCATTAAGTGTTTGCCAAATTTGCAATTACAATATAACCAACCATCATATTCACCTAATTTAGTTCTATATGACTTCTAATGAGCAAACTCGAACGACCGCTTCGGGTGAACCGTTTTGAGTCAACTGAAGCATTGAACGTGAATCGTTACCCGCATTGAAGGCTATTGTTTCGAAGATTGGAAACAAAGTTGTCACAAGAGTATTGGGGCCAATCCCCCTTGGCTTTGAGGGGAAAATACGACATAGATTTGGAAGAATGAATTAACAATTTTAAAATTATGAACAAAATCTTTCTATTTTTTGCTCATAAAATAATATATCATAGTATTAGGATGTTAGAGATTAGATGTACATATGTAAGTACATGATATGTTACTATTCGATAACTGAGCATCAAAAGATGATGACGCGGCCTCCCTAGGAACACGCGTTGTATAGTGAAAACTGATGAATTGGCGTAGGTCGTGTTTTCTGGTATAGTAATTTTGATATCAAAATAAGGAGACTCGTTGAATTCCAGTTGTCTCTTTGTCGGTTCAGGTGTAACCGATCATTTTATACTCTCGCAAGGATCAAAATCAAGATAACACCTTCAGATGTTGCAAAATTTTTAAAAATTACAAAAGAATTTAATATCCATTATTCGTCCGAAGTCTAAATGATTGCAATCCTAGGATCCTAAACTTAATTTATTCGGTATATGGAGAAAATGTCAACCAGGAGCCCGAAAATAAAAATATATAATCAGCGCAATATCACATTGTATATTGACTGAAATAAACGGTTTAAGGTTCGCTGAAAATTGAGAAATCATCACTTTTGACTATACCTAAATATACTGAGAAATATGTTTCCATCCAATTTTATATATGCATATGTAGTATAGGGGAATTTTTGGTAATTGCATACTAAATTCAACATACTATATTCGGCTTTACAATATAGTGTATTCAATACGAGTACGAGCTTATTTCAAATAGTATCGCGAATTTTGTATTTTTTAAGGAAAAGTTTATTCATTCATGAACATTTATTTTGGGTTCTTCATAATTATCTCCCGATATATAATATTAGGCGTGCTTTATTTGACCAGCAAATTAAGCCATTAGCTTATTTTGTATGGAAGACTAAGCCAACATGATTATGTGGACTTGTGATCATAGCTTGTATGAATATTGAACTAGAGCCATTGCCAGTTCCTCGCTTTTTTTTCATTCACAATAGCTATGATTTTTCCAAAAAAAAAGTAGTTAGCGATAACGATAATGTTCATTTGGACAAAGGAAAGTATAAGTAAACCAAAATTACATAATTTTGTATTTTGTTTAAGTTAAAATTAATACACCATGTCAAGTGGTCCATGAAAATTTCGAAAAATCTCCCATTTTGAAAATTAGCTGTTCATTATGAAGGGCACTAGACGCATATCCCGTTATATAAATATTTCGTCATAACCCTTTTTTGGACCACTTGACGTGGTTTGACCCAAACATGAATATTTGCTAAAATAAATATAATTATATACACCTTTACAAATTTAAGAACCCAAACTAATCTTTCTCCAACTCAGCGATTTGAAACAAATTGAATATCAGCTGACTGTTCCCACACGCATTTCTAACACAGTTCGTTTTGAAGCGAAAATATAAAATAAGCGTTTTGTTTGTCCATGATTTAGCTATTAGCTTGTGATGGTTAAATAAAACACGAATATTGTACTTCTGGCAGCCTTTTTCCAAATCCAATGAACGTAGTCGGCGAAAATTCACAATACCTACTTTTAGTACAAACCTCATATCTTATATTAGGTATGATGGTGATAGGGGTAGAATTGCCCGGATTTAATTTATTCTTGGAATTAGTGCATATTATTAAAAGAAAAATACGCCAACTGAGCATTTTTAAGCTACGGTAAGTTTGCACCCGATTTTAACCAGTTTAAGCACAAATAAATGATATTATTAGAAAGATTTTGTTATATCAGAGTAGCCATGGCTGTGATTCGATTTCGACAATTTTCCTACCCTGTTATAAGAATGTGAGAACAGTGTGAAGTATTATTGGAAACCCATCGCCTAGATCTTGAGATACAGAGATTGACGACCCACGCCCACTAACCACTTTCCACACCTTCTACAATGAAGACCTTATGCATCATCTTCACTATGGAATTTAATGCTTCTGACCTATTTATTTAGTGAGTTATCTTTATCATTTTCAACATAATATTGGAGTGGGCGAGTGTCGGGCTATAAATCTTTTTTTTTTACCCGCGCAAATTTACAAAAAGCGAAAGGTACAAGCGAAATTGCAGCAATGAAGAAAATAATAAAGGGCCGAGTAATGGGACTGTGAGGTGGTCAAGTATTAGACTGACTTTATTTGCATAATTCTGTTCTCCAGTTCTTGATCTGCGGATAATGTTGATTTGACGCCAAGGAGTTAATTAAGGTATAAACGGATCCCCTCTGATTAGCTTTCGTGGTCTCTTAAAATGCCTCCTTAATGTTCTAGGGAAGTGGTTCAGCAGAAATGCGAAAAAATCGAGAAAACAATCGCTCACTTAGCTAGATTTCTCCCTTCAAGCGAAACAGATTATTTCCGACCGGTTACATAATTTATTTCATAGTCTTCCATGTGTGTTGTACAATCTATCACATGACAAGGTTTAGATTTAATTAAGGCCACGCGTTTATGATGCTAAGCGTTAAGGATGTGCCGTTTACTTTCCGGAAACCATGTTGACGGTCTGCTAGATTATCACCAATATCACACTCCCCAAATATACGTACAACGTTGAAGACTGAAAAATCATAATGTGCAGCCATTTAACGAAAACACTACGGAAAAATATGTTAGCACTCGCATAAGACTCAGTAACATTATGGATCAGGGGAGGATATGGAACAACCTTGTGGTGATTTACTTAACTTTCTAGTTTTCACCAATTTCGGTAACCTAGAATCGCAATAGACACTCAATTTAATACATTTGCTACTTTTAGAGGTTAAAAAGTTTGCAACATTTTTATCAAGTTATAAATTTATAAAAATACAAATTTATTTTAATTATTAGGCATCAACCTCGGAATTATTAAAATGTTTGGGAATATTTTTACATTACCGATGTAAAAAATTGAGGAATTTTGAAGCCGGAGATGCCGTCATGTGGTTAAGAGCTGTCGATAGAAGCCTATTACTTCAGGGGTGGCAAGTAAGTATTATTTGAATAATATTAAGTTAGAGTGGTTTTAATTACTTCATCCAAATAAAGAGAGAATATATGTAGAATAAATATTTTTATCGATTAATACTTGACGACCACGTACACAAGATTGGTTACGGAAGTGTTGTCAACTATTCACGATACTATGTATGTTGACTTTACTCAAAATCTACCACCCTCGATTTATAGTTGAAAGAACGTTTTGTGCGAGTTTTTTTTCAAAAATAGTTTTTAACAAAATTAGTAAGTTGATTTATAGCAATTTATATATATACCCTTCAACCAGGTACTAAAGAGTATTATAGTTTTTTCACCTAACTTTTGTTCGTATCACCTAAATCTAAGCGATATAGATATATGTAGGGTTATATATACTATATATAAATGATCAAGATGACGAGAAAAGTTGAAATCCGGTTGACTGTCTATCTGTCCGTTCGTACGTGCAAGCTGTAACTTTAGTAAAAATTGATATACAGGATTTGTCCGGAAAGTAATAGATAGGAGAACTTGAACATGTGCAAGGTGTGCGCGAAGATGGTCCTAAAAGCGCTCACTGACGACTAGAAATTGCGGTGAGTTGGAAGTGTGCTAAGAAAATTTGAACTTGCGTCAAACTGATCCCCAATTTTTGAATAACGTAATCACAGGTATTTCCTTGCCTGAAAAGGCCGATGAAAGGCAAGAATTTAAGACAACAGAGGGGATCCAAGCAGCATGCGCTTCGGCTCTCAATGTTCTTCTGAAGAATGCCTTCTATGACGCCTTTAGTGTTTGGAAATCGCGCTGTCACCTAAACTTAATCCTTCCTTAATTGTTACTATTACTATTACACTTACTATTACATTACATTATACATATTGTTCGTGGGCCAACGCTGCTTTATCAATATGCTAACTGGCTGATCAACGTCTTTTTAACAATTTCCTGACTCCATGGGATCGATTCGGTACTGTCGCGCTGACGGTGAAAAAATTTATTCGATTACACGTATAGACCGTAAATTTGTATTATATGAATTTGAATTTTGGCAATTCGAAAGAAAGGTTCAGTTAATGATTGTTAATGACTCGCTCTCTCAAAGCATGGTTGTTCCTGCCATATCCATACTTTCCGGTACTCACCACAAAGCTTCCAAAACTTTCATACGTTCCCTATACTTTAGTTAGAGAACTGATCCAATTGTGATTACGTAGATGATAAATGTACGCATCACTGCCACTACGAATGGTGTAGTAATTATCAGCCTGAGCAGTTCAGGGGGCTTATAGCAGACACAGCGAATCTCTTTCCTTCCTCAGTTGCCGACCGAAGCGAGCAAAATTTTTCAAAAGTTGATCCCGTAGAAATCAGACATCTATTACAAATAGTTTATACATATATTTATAAATGGTAGCATTTGACTCTGATTTTAAGTTGGCTTAAGAAAATTTCAAACGTATTGAAGATTTTTAATTTTGATAATTCCTACAGTATATCGAGACTGGTAACCCTGCGTCGTGAGAGAGCAATCAGCTGACTCGTTTCTAAGGGAAAACTCCAAATCGTGGGAAATCTACGGACTCGTACGGTAAAGCGGGTAGAAGCGGTGTTGGCTGATCATTTACATTGCGCTGTCATAAGATAGGTCGTATCAGCTGATTCGGGCTGCGGGTTTACGTTGATCGCTGTTTCTGCTATTCCTCTGTAGCGCGATGCGAAATACAATACGATTCGAAAGCCGCATGCGATGCGATAGACAATTCATCTCTGTGTTGCTGACGCAGGACTAACAATCCTTTGCTTTATGTTCTTTTTATGCAATAGTCGGCTTTACTGTCAAAAATGAGGAAGTATATTACTAATATTTATTATTTATTATAATTGAATAATTATTAATAGAAAATTTCGTTCCACCATTCCTATTGGGCTTTGCTGAGGAGGTCTTGTAATATTGGATGGAATAAATAGCTTAAGGGGAGATGTTTAAGCCGCCTTGATAACTTTATCTACCAGCTCATTTCCTCTTATATCAACATGACTTGGAATCCACATGAATTTAATTTTTAAGTTTATTAAGGAACCCCTAATGGTAGCTATTTCTTCTGAGTGGTTATGAACTCCGTGCAGTATTGCTTTGTTATCTGTGCAGATAATAAATTAATTGCTTTTTTTGGTGGCGAATTGCGCCCATAGGACAGCTTGAGTTTCAGCCTCGTAAAGTCACGTTTGATATACTAAAATTCCGTTTGCTATCAGGTCATCATTTTCATGGACTACGGCAAGAGATGTTTGAGGAGCGGCCAGTGGGCTAGTTGAGTCTTTAGGGTAGAAAGCGTGATGATAAATGATTCATAGCAACCAAGGCGGAGTAGGTTAGTATTAAGATTGTCATTAAGGGCTAGGCCAACAATCGGTTTCCCGATTCAATCCCTGTGCCCAAAGCATATCGTGCTTCCTTTGACTATTAAGAAAAAAATTTAAGCAAACAAAACCTTTTACTTGGAGTCCGGAAGTCCAATCAAAATGCAAGATTCATAAATACAATATATACATACACCCAACCTTTTTTTTTACACGGATTTGAAGTGAAACGATTGAAAAAAAATTGTAAAAAAAAAACTTTATCTGATTCACTGTTTTGTTATGTTATGTTTGTTTTTACCACACTTGGCACCATTGCTCAAATGTATATATAATACATAGTATTAACTGGAAAATCCCTTATTCGATAACTCTCACCTACTCATTTTGTTCGCATGATATTTATATAAAATATTGCTCCGTTAAAATGTTTAAAGTTTATAGCTCGCAATATTTTATCAAACGTTGGTCCTATCTAATTGATACATTTGAACATTTCTGACCTTAATAAGTGAAAAAAGGTATTTTATCCATAAATTTTTAGTTAAACTTTAAAAATAAAATATTTGCTCTTAATACAGTTAACAAAATGTCCCCAATTTCAAAGATTCGTAAAAGGCAAGCAATTTCTTTCTAAGTAAAATTAAAATTCTTTAACTGCCTGGCAAGAGGTGAAGGTTCAACATTTGCGGGTAAGGATTTTGGCTTAAACGAAGCTACTATCAAGACCATTAAGAAAAATAAGAATGAAATACGGAAATCTGTCGAAAGTCACCATTGGATAATTTGATGGATATCTTCAGTGATGATACCGTTCAGTTCGTCGCAAACAATTGCTAATATTATTAAGTAGCGGCAAATGTGCGACGGTTATGTAGCTATGTCAATATGCCATAGCTTTGTATAATTTTTCTGTTCTTAATGCTGGATTAACAGATTTCTTTTGGTTTTTTGCTGCTCTACCAATTTTTCACTTGTATGAATTTTGGATTTTAAGTTTTAATGTTCAATAAAATGCTATATGAACATACAACTTGTATGCATATGCGAAATTTTATAGTTTTGAAAATTTTTAACACGGTTTTTCAAAGTAAGTATAATTCTTCATTTCATCTTACACGATTTTCATATGACATGGAACGTTACCCACATTTTATTATAGGAAACGCCTCGTTTTTTACACGGTTTTCTGAGGAACGTATCTACCGTGTAAAAAAAGAGTTGGGTGTACATATTGATTCCAGTGTAATGAACTAAAACTTTTTTAGATATGTGATCACAAAATGCAGAAAAGGCAGTCAATGGTAGATTTGAGACACGTCACATATATTAAACGTACGCTGCGCTCCGCAAAATATATGTATTTTTTACAACGTTATAGTTTCAATTAATATTACTCTTGAGCAAGAATAATTTCCACCACTAATATATGTAGATTTACCTAATAGTGGTAATTTTATTACYATTACTTGAAACATAAGGGATGATATTAAAACAAATATGATAAATGCTGGTAACTGAACTTAACTTAAAATAAACGAAATACTTGCAAGTTTACAGTTTAGGTCTATTATAATAAGGAAAATCTTTCAGATTTAATACTAAAAAATATTTTTTAATAATTACAAATTAAGTTTTTAGATTTTAATTCGACTTCTCGCAGTTAATTAAATTTATTTAAATTCAATATTTTAGTTTCATTTCTGAATTTTTGTTGATTAGTTTATATTTATATAAAAATTTTTCCTTTTCAAAGGTTAGTCTTCGTTTTTTCTAATTTATTCCCATTTTTTAATGTTTTAAAAATGTTTTTATATTAAAATCTATATCGCTCAATACTTTATTATTATAATTATTAATTGTTGTGAAATACTATATGGTTTTCGGCTTGTTGTTTAAACTGAGTCCTCTGCTTTTTGCCACTTTGGAAAATTATGGTAGTTTACTGTTTTGTGCATTGGTTCGGTAGGGTCTGCACTAGGGTGGGTCGATTCCAGACTTTCTTCGATTCGGGATTTATAACAGTCCGGAAAAGTTGCTTTAGTACTTCCTGATTCCAATGCAACTTTTTGTTTTGAGATCGGATTGCATCTTCAACCGCAACTCCGGCCTTAAAATTTCTGAAATTCGCCTAAAATCGTCAAATGGCCTACCTAGCGCCTGAAATACGCATCTCATGGCAAAATGTATGAAACAAAACTTATTTGTCACATCATTTGCTACCGAAATGGTATGTGATCATGTCCGTAAGACGAACCGTTCCCGAGATACGAGCGAAAATGCGGCGCGCCACAGCGCAAGGTAAAAATTGTTGCAGCTTTCAGCTAACCTGTATTGGTCACCCAGAACCCACCGCGTGGATGTRGCTGCTCTTCGTTCTACTCCCAAGCCCAACCCAACCAACCAACCATATGTCGGGCTTGTTTTAGTCTGAATCTGTGTAAAATTTATTGATAAAATCAGATTTTGTAGTAAACTTTGGCACTTGTTGCCTAGATTTCAGTGTAGAGCGTATAAAACGATCTTGGGATTGCGGGCCAATAACTTTAGAAGATGTCCATATCACCAGTTTTATGGTTCTCTCGACTGAGGGGAATTCACTATATTTCCTTACCTCTGCAGTGTCACCCGACAGCCCTCTTATG